CCACCTCTCTGAGCCCTTTTTCCCTTAAAGTCTTTAAGAAGGGGGCTCCAGCAGGGACCTGAAAGATCCCTACCAAAAGAGGAAAGGAAATAGAAGGCCAGGAGGACCATCCTCCACCTGCCAGCTTGTTCCCTTCTTACCTAAGCAGTGGGTACAACCCCTCCAGACAGCAGCTCCAACAGGAATTAGGCCTCTGACCACACAGGTTCCAGCTGGACCACAGCCAGGAGCCCTTCCCAGCAGCCGCTCCTTCCTGACTTCCTCCACTTAAAGGTCAGGAGTCCCAACTCCCAGAGAGAGGGCAAGGAGGCTTGCGACTTCCGACTTGCCCTTCCAGGCACCTTTCATCTCCTGCCAGGCGGGCCCTCCCCTCCTGGTTGATTCATGGGCCCTGGTGCACACAGGTGCACACAGGTAAGTGAATGAAGCCTATCTCGAACCCCACAGGTCCTTAGCTTCGCCAAAGCAGGACGTTACAGGCGTAACTGGACTGGGGGTGCCTTGGACCCAGGAAGGGCACCCAAAGGGTCTCATCTGAAACCTGTCTGCAGATTTGTCAATTTCTGAGATTTTTCTATTTTCATTTTTTAAAACTTTCTCCCCCTCCCCGCAGTATGAACACTTTCACTGCCCACTTCCGAGTGACTCAATAAAACGCGAGATCCCCAGGTCTTTCGAGACTCCGGTTCCACCTTGCCACTTCACAGCTGCAGAAACTGAGGCCCGCGGACTCCGAGGGCGGTGCTTCTCCCGCCACCTGGGGGACTCACAGAGGGTTCCAGCGCTCGGGCAGGCGGCGGTGCAGCGAGATGCGGTCGCTGAGGTAGATGTTGATCTGGTGCAGCCGCACGCTCTCCTCCTGCAGCCGCAGCTCTTCGCCCTGCAGCTGCAGCCGCACTGCCTCGCCTCGCGCGCCCAGAGCGTCCTCCCGCACCGGCGGCCGCGGCAGAACTGGGTCTCGCCGCCCAGAGCGCGGGGTGCGTGGGAGTCCTGGCTCGGCGGTCCCGGCCCCGCGCCGCGCCCGCAGCACCGAGCCCAGCCCGGCCACGGCCAGCAACGCCAGCAATACCAGCAGCGCCTCCCGGCCGCGCCGCAGCCCTCGCGGGCAGCGCCTGCACGCCGCGCGCCCCCACATGCGCTCCCCAGCTGCGGCCAGCGCCCGGCGCGCCCCGAGGCGGTGGCGCAGCCAGCGACCCGGATCCCGGAACCGGCGCGCCGCCCCGCCCCCGGCCCGCCCCTCCTGCCCGCCGAAGGGGCGAACTTTTACAGGGTCCTCAGGAGGGCTCGCTGAGACGTGCACCTTCTTGATGGGCTGTGTGCTTCATTAAAAAGGTAACGGCCGTAAAACCCTCAGCTCAGCGCCTGGCAAGTCGTAAGCGCTCCGTAAATGTTGGCCGAATGCGCTGTGCAGGGCGCTATGAATTTCACTGCCATTATCTCATCTGACCCCTACACAGTCCAATAAGAGAGGTACATTTTACAGATGAGGAGACTGGGGCACAGTGAGGCCAATTTACACCGGGCTATCTCATGGAGGCCTGCAGGCATACCGACCTAAGACATACTGCTCGGATCCCTTGAATAACAAACCCTCCTCTGGCTCCCTATTAGTCCATAATCTGTTTCTTATTCCTCACTTTACAGACTCCTCCAAGAAATTTATCAAAGAAATGAACTATCCTCTCAGAAAAACACACGCAAACACACCCATGATTGCACACACCCCAGGCCATCCCTTCAGGTTAAGTAGCCCGGGTCTTGGCTAGAGGTTTCCTTTGGGAGGATTGGGAGAATGAGGAAGCCACAGGGGTGCCGGAAATATTTAATAGGGTCCAGACTACAGTGAGGCATGAGGCTCTCTCCAAGGCGGAAAATTGAAGTGTGGGCCAAGTAAGCCTCAGTAATCAAAATAAACAATATTTTTCAAAATCAAAATGAATGCAAAAAATCCATGACAACAAAATACCAAAATTTTTTTTTTTTTTTTTTTTTTTTTTTCATTATGGGGCCCT